CACCACCACCTCCACCTACCACCTACCACCAACACCTACCACCTATCAACACCACCTCCACCTACCACCAACACCTCCCACCAACACCTACCACCTATCAATACCACCTCCACTTCCACCTACCACCAACACCTACCACCTATCAATACCACCTCCATCTACCATCTACCACCAACACCAACACCTACCACCACCACCATTATCACCACCACTGGAACCCAGAGAGGCTCTCTCAAGCCTACCCTAGGCAAGCCTCTGGGCCCTATTATCTCTAAACACCATGTAGGTTTTCTGGGGGGGGAATTCAGCTTGGGGCAGTAGAAAGACTCCTTGAACAAGTCTTTTCCCATGTTCTATCTAAGCCCGACTACTGTGAAATAGGACTGCGAAAGAGGCGTCTGAAAGGTCATGGGAAGATTCTATTATCTTTAAATTCCACATGCCACAAACTTTTGACAACCACTCCCCACCACCACCCCTTTATCATGCTCACCCACCTCAACCTCCCTGTGGAATGGAAGAATGAAATAAGCTTCCCATGTCAAACAAACAAACAAGACCCTCTGAAATTCTTACAAGCAGCACTTTCTCTCTTTGCCTTAGGCCAGTCACTCCTCTGGGCTGGGGCTGCTCCCTTCCCCGCCAGGCTGCAGGGCGAGAGGAAACATGACCAGACCAGGTGTTCTTGAGCGCCAGACTGACCAGGTTGTGTTCCCTGGGGACCAGGATTCATGGACTGAAAACAGGGTTGAATGGGTAGATGTGTGATGCGGTTGCTTTACAGAGTTAAAAAGGAGCCCTGGCGGCCTAGTGGATTAGGCATTGGGCTGCAAACTCAAAGGTGAGCAGTTTGAACCCACTAGCTGCTAGGGTCGCCTGATTCAGAACTGACTGGATGGCGAAGAGTTCTTCTTTGGTCTTCCATTAGGGCAGGGGCAGGGGTCCTGTGCCTTCCACACAGGAATCACTGTTCAATTCCCAGCAGGGGCACCTCATGAAAGCCATCCTTCAGCAGAGCTTCCAGACTAAGACGGACCAGGAAGAAAGGCCATCTGCTGCTGAAACTCGGCCAACGAACCCCATTGGTGTCTGTGGGTGTCTGCTAACACCAACCACACCCAATAGTGCAGCTTCCCGTCCTGCCCACGACCTGTCACCAAAGACCTTGTCTCTGGCTTCCCTCTGCTAGCTGGCTTGAGGAAAGGGCTGCACCTTCCTGAAGAGGCTCAGAGGGGGCAGGGAAGAAAACTGGCGAACTTGAACGCTCCGCTCGGTGGGGTGAGAAACAGAGGAAGTGGAGCCAAGGGAGGGACAAGGGGGTGGTCAGCGGAAGCCCCCCAGCCCCAGCCTAGCTCCCGCCTTCCCTGTCTGCGGAAGGCCGGGACCTAGCGGAGCCTGGCGGCGGGAACAATGTCAGGCAGGTGCCGGTCGAGCCGCGTGAAAGGCCCAGCCCGGTGTCATTGTCAGCGCTCAGCCAAGTGCAGAAAAACAATTTACTCGTCACGCCGCCTGCTCCCCGCGGAAATTTTTAAAATTCTTCCGATTTGAGCTATCCACGGTGTCCCGAGTCGTGTGGAGACGGGATTTTATTAAATTCCCAGCTTCCCGCTTCCTGGGGTGGCCATCGGGTGAGGGTGGAGCTCGCCCCACGGAGGCAGAGGCCAGTCAGGGTCTGGCATTGTATGTGCGCAGGGAAACGTGGCTGGGGATCGAGGGGGGCGGGGAGGGGCAGTCTAGGTCAGGCGGCTGATGGGGTGAAGGGGTGGGGCCCCAAAGCCCCATTACAGAGACTGACTGGACCGGTCCGAAAATGCTTCCATTTGGCAGAAAGGGTTGGCGTCTTTCTGGGCACATGAGAATTTGCGAACCCTTCCCGTCTCTACTGTATATACCCCTCCAGCCTCCCAAACCCACAAATAACCCCGGACAAGAGAGGTGGAGTTCAGGTCCAGGTTCTCTGGTTTGCAAAGTCTTGAACTCTCCTCCTCACGTCCCCTCCCCACACAGAGTAGCCTCCCCTAGCCCCTTTAAACACCCCTGCCCCTGAAGGAGCCCGAGTGAATTAGTGGCTTGGGCGCTGGGCTGCTAACCACAAGATCAGCAGTTCTTTCTGCGGGAGAAAGATGAGGTTCTCTGCTCCTGTAAAAGTTTACAGTCTCAGAAATCCAAAGGGGTTAGTTTTGCCCTGTCCTGTAAGTTCACTGTGAGTCAGAGCAGAGTCAATGGCAGCAGGTGGGTAGTAGCTACATCTACCCAGTGAGATCTTAGCAGTGACCCACCTCAGACACCTGGCAACTAACATCCAGAGCCCACCCCACTCAGCTCTGTGCCACAAAGGCCCACCCACCTTGGTCCCTGAAGTGCAAATGGGGACCTGAGCTTGCCCACCTTGCCTGGAATCCCCTAGGATCAGTTCCATTCACACTTAAGGATCAAGGATACTGTTGAAATCCTAGGGGTGGGGGTGGGGGGGACAGAGGACCCTCTCCCAGACATGCAGTGTTTCAGGGGAAAGCACACACATACACCCCATAATCCTATCCTCACTTACTCTAGGATAGAGCTATGAGGTTTAAAGCATCAGCAGTTTGGATAGAGATAAGCCGGGGGGTGGGGTGCAGGGAGAAGGTGGGGGTGGTGTGGAGAATGCTGTACCCACTGGGTGGCTCTTCCAGACCTAACCCAGGTGGACACTCTACAGCCCTTTGCTAAGAGGTGCTCCAGCCTGGAGGCGGAAGGGTGGTGAGGAGTTTGAGCTCCGTGCAGAACACAAAGAACTCACGGCAACTCTCCCGGAGCCCCACTTCAAGAAAACGCAAAGGACAGCAGCATCGAGGTGCCCCCTGCCTCCTCTCTATCTCCATGCCCATCTTGGGGCCTCTCTCTCTACACACCTGTCCTGCAACCCAGGACTGGCACTCCGGGAAGGGGCGCTCTCCCAAGTCACACAAGTAGACACCCTGGAGTGGCCAGCAGGCCTGACCTCTGCCTGGGGACTCTGCTGCAGAGCAGACAGGCCATGCCTGGCACTGGTCTCTCTCTCTGACACCAGCGCTCACCACCCCCACCCTGTCATCACTGCAGGGTCACATCTGCTTTGGCAAACAGCCAGTCTTAAGTTACTGAGTCCAGTTGTATTGATTCAAGGAGCCACCAGGGACCCTCCCCATCCTGATGGGAGGGAAGAAGCCATCAGTCTGTCCATCCATCTAGTCATCCATCTTTCCATCACCCAGCTACACAGACTGCCCCCAGCCCAATGTGCTACCTCATAGAGGAGTGGGAATGGAGAGAAACAGAGACCCCGCCCCCACCCCCACCCCCACTGCCAAACACAGCTGAGTCTCAGCAACACAACACACACATCACTCCTGGAGACTGGGGACTGGGAAGACCACCATCTTGCCACTCTCAAGGTTCTCTGCTGTTGCCCCCAGAATCCAGAAGGCAGAGGCCTAACCTGTAAGGACACCTGCCTTCCTCCAAGAGGGGGAAAGGATGATTAGTCCTCTTTTGGCCCGAGTCCAGCTCCTCCAAGGGCCCCTCCCTCACAGCTCTAGGTGGGTGGGGGTCCGGGCAGCTGGCGTTTCCTAGTCCCTTTGCCCGCCACCGCCCCCCCCACCCCCCATGCTGAGGCAGCCTTGGTCTGGTTCTAATCGGGGCTGAAGTCGGCTCCCTCTTCTCTCTCCCTCCCCCTCCCCTCCTTTTTCCTTCATTTCCACGGCTTTGGAAGCCAGAGCGTTCCAACTGTCTGCGTGCCAAGACCTTCCCGAGTCTGAAAGCTGCTGAAGTAACAGATCAGATTTTAGCAAGTGCTTTCCAGGCTGAGCGCCAAGCCCTCTTCTGATTCACAGAGAGTGAGCGAGCGAGCGGGGAGCAGGCGGGGAAGCAGCGGAGGGCTGCACCACCTTGGCCGAGGGCGAGCGCAGCCCGGCACAGAGCGATCTCAGGGCAACCACGCCCCGGCCCGGTCGCCCGGCTTGGCCCCTCCAGCCCTGCGTCGCCCGGGCCCCTGCGTTTATCTCTCCCCTGAAAAGCTGCGGACGCCTTCGAAACCACAGAGTAATTTACAACTGAAGCTTTCTCTCTGGACTCGAAATCCACTCTGCTGAATGGAGTCTTTTTGTTTGGAAGAGCGAGCGGAGATCTATGGGACGGTGGACAGAGAAAAGCCAACTCCTCGCCGACTGCGGTCAGGGCACTTGGAGTCCGGCACACTTCGGAGGCTGAGCCCGCAGGCTCTGGGGGATCTCCTCTCCCACGAGGCCGGAAGGGGCTGCGAAAGCCCGCGCTGGCCTGCGCCTCGAGCAGAGTCCCTTGGCCTTGACCAGTCCCCACCCGGCGAGGGGCGCGCGCGCACGCGCGCGCGCGCGCGGAGCCGCCCTCCTGCGCCCTGGGAACAGGTGCACTGGGCTCCTCGCCCAGGAGGGTGGGGCACAGGGAGGGGCGCGGCCCGGAGGAGGGGGGTCGGCAGCTATGGCGAGGCAGGGGCAGGAGGAGGTCACAGTCAGGAACCCACGTACCTGTACCTGGAAGCACAGCAGCAGGAAGTGTAAACACCTGCGGGAGAGAGATGGAGTGGCGGTCAGTGGGACCTCAAGGGGTGGGGAACGCGCGGACAGACAGACATGCAGTCGGAAAGTCAGACGAGCAGACCGGTGGGCACACAGAACTATAGGCAGAGACAGAGACAGCCGACCCGCAGGGCGGGCAGCCTGCGCGCGGGCGCTTACAGGCAAGTGCAGGCGGAGGGCGCTGAATACATCGCTGGGCGGGGGGCAGGCGGCGGCTCCTAGCCCAGCCTGCACATGTCCGCTCCGCGCGGCCGGGACCGGGCGCCTCCGCCGCCGTCGCCGCCGCCGCCGCCGCTGCTGCTGCTCTCTCCTCGCGGGCTGCTGCTGCTGCTGCTGCTGCTGCTGCAGACTCTGCTGCTCCGGGGCGCTCCGCCGCGCGCCCTGCGGCATCAGCGCCCCGCGCGGCTCCTCCCGAGCGCTGCGCCCTCCCGGCTGGCGCGGGGGCTGCGGAGCGGCCGCCGCTGTGCAGGGGACGCCGGCCGATGCGGGAACGCTGGTTCGGTGCCGGCCGTCCGGGCGTTCTCGGGGTGCTGGCTGCCCAGCTCACTCTGTGGGCGGCATGGGCCGCCGGGCTGGCAGCTGGGGCGCGCGCTCGGGCCGACGCGGGGAGCTGCGCTGGGCCAGGGTCAGGGCTCTGGGGCCGGGGCGCGCGGCTGCAGCACGAACGCGTCACGGCCGCTCCGTCTGGGCGCCCGCCGGCTCATGTCTCCTCCTCCGCGTCTCTCCGGCCGTGCGCATCGCCGCCTCCCACCGCTGGCGGCGGCCGGGCGTTTTCTACGCGCGGGCGGCGAGGGGGCGGGGGGCCGGGGGCGGGCCCGGGCCGGAGCCGGCACAATGAGGATGCGGGGCCTGGGGGCTCCCCCCTCGGGGCGCGGCCGGACGGGCGCTCAGCTCGTCTGGGTGCGCCGCGCCCACATCAAAGGCGGCCCTGCCTGCTTGTCTGCCTGCCGCGGCCTCTCCACTGCCTCCTCCTCCTCCTCTTCCTCCTCCTCCTCCTCCTCCTTCTGGCGGCTCCGCAGTGGAGGGGAGGCGCTCAGACTCTCGGCGACGGGACCTGCAGCTCTGAAGGGCAGAGCCCAGGAGGCTGGAGCGGGTGAGCGCTTGAAGCCGTCGGAGCGCTGCGCCTGGGCGCAGTGGCCCGCCCCGCGGCGCAAACGCTGCCGGAATTCGGTCCCAAGGACGCAGTTAGGTGTGGAGCAGTCTTCCTCGTCCACACACCCTACTCACACTCACTCACACCCACCAGCGCTGGAGTGGGGAGTGGGGAGCGGGGAGCGGCGAGGGGGTTGGTCAGGCCAGCCCACGAGGCGGCTCAGCTGAAGGGGGGGTCGCTTTTACCCGTCCTGCGGGTCCACTCAGGATCGAGTCCTTTCCTAGACACCCTTCCGACCGACCACTCAAAGTGAGTCCCTTTTCCCTTCTCTATCCACCCTAGTCACTGGAGGGCCGGGTGGGGGATTGGCGCACCGGCGTCTCTTCTCCCGCGGGGCTCCTAGTTCGGTTCCTAGGATCCCAGGCTGGGCTTTTAGCCAGGCTCTCCGGTAGGGTACCGACTTTGGAATCACACGGCTGCCACCTAGCGGACTCGAAGCATCACTGCCACCCCAACCTGGCCGGCTGCAAACGCGGGAGGAGCTGGCAAAATTCTGGTCAGAGACCTTGTTACAGTAGTTAGTCCCTTTTGTGGGTCCCCTACCAGGAGCCAAGCTGAGAGCTGCTTCTGTGTGCATACTCCAGCAGTTCGGTTCCTGACCTGGACCGCTCTTCTCAATTCGTTCTCACCACTCCTAGCCCTTCCAGAGATGTAACTCCTGCCCTTCCCAACCCCACAAAGTAGAGAATGCCATTTGCAACTTCCTCCAGCGCCCCCCCCTCCCGTGTAAAGCCCAGGCTGATCGCCCTATTTCACAAGAGCATAAACAGAGGTCAGTGTCATCCTAGGTGCGATGCTATTTCCCAGGCTCGTGGAATATGGACCATCAGTCCTTGTTCTGGTATCAGGACTCTGCAGGCTCGGATCGTCAGCTTTCTCCCCAGATGGAGGGTATTTGGGGACTGTAATTTCAGGTTGGGTCAGAAAAGCAGAGCACCTTTTTTAAATCAGGTACTGACCGATGGCAAAAGTTCTTGTGTGAATCTGAAGCGATGTGTTTACCTAGATATTTTCGTTGCTAGAATTGGTCTTGCGAAGAGACCGGATTTTTCACTGGTTCTCAAGTGCCAGAGACAACGAACTTATCCCGACAGGCTTTCGTGGCCAAGGACAAATAGAGATCGACAGGAATGTCCTCACTGGATCATTGCCACCAGCCTTGGTCTTCCTTTGCACGAAGACCTCCGACAGTCAAGAGCTATTTTGGCTTCCAAAACCCAAGCTGGTTGTCAAAAAGTCGATTCCACTCAGCAATCCTATAAGAGAGCAGAACTGCGCCAGTTTCCAAGGCTGTAAATCGTTATGGGAGCCAACTGCCACATCTTTCTCCCTGAGTAGCAGCTGAATGCCTGGTTTTGGCTTACCATCTGCTAAAATGGGGCTTGTAAGTATGTCATGGCAGAGTGATACTTCCAGGTTATTTAATTACTGTTGTTGCTATCTTCAATTATACTTCGGTGGAATGGGCATATAACTACATATTGTTATTAGCTGCTGCTGAATTGGCCCAACACCTGGAGTCCCAGGCCTAACAGATGTTGCCCAGTTCTGTGTCGGCCCCAGGGATTGGTTGTGGATTGTATTGTTGGGATCTATTGGGTTGTCACTGGCTGATTGCTGCCAGACCATTCTTCCTAGTCTGTTTGGGAGCTCTACAGAAACCTGTTCAGCATCATAAACCCACTAAACCTACCACCATCAAGCTGATTCCAACTCATGGGACAACATAAAACTGCTCCTTCGGGTTTCTGAAGACTATCTTTATGAGAGCAGACAGCCACCTCTTTCTCTTGCTGAGTAGCTAGTGGGCTTGTGCTTAAAGGCTCAGTGCTGACCCCGTTGTACACCAAGTATCCTTTTCGGCACCATAATATCATGTAAGCCTCTACTAAAAGATGGTCGGTAGCTGGCTGTACACGAGGTGCATTGGCCAATGGTTGAACCCAAGTCTCCCATACAGTAGGCAAGAATTCTTTTACTGAATCATTAGCTTCATGTAACAACTCACATCCTATCTAAAATAATTGCGATTTCTTTCAATGTTCAGGTAAAGTATATTTGTTGATCCTGTCACACAAATACAGAGGCAGAAAAATCCAGTCAAGAGAACTGTTCTCAGCAAATTTAAGAGCATAAACTCAAGGGTCAAGTGGCTTGGATGTGAATGTTGTCGCCAACATTAACTTGTAGATTTCAGCGCAGGTAACAGACTCTGCTTCCTGGAATGTAACACACAGGTGGCTAGCAATCTGTCTGCAGAGTTGCTGTGAGGACCAGATGAGATCATCCAGAGCCTGGCACATGATAATCCAGCTTTGTAGCTGTTGCTAATAATCCCAGTGATGGTCTTCACATTTTGCATCTTCACTATTTCATGAAGGAAGGAGGCAAGACTGTTCCCACTTCAATGTTGAACAGGTCTTTGTATCCAATCATTTCTCCACAGTATTCCTTAATTTCACCCCTTCAAACTTTTCATCAGACCTACTGAAAACATGAATCTTAAAAGTGTTTATTTTTGTTTTTCTATTGGAAATATCAAAATGTGAAGCCATTGTTTCGCAACATACCCATGTAGTTGTGTGGCTTGGCAGTTAAGACCTGGTAGTCCCTCATGTGCTGTAACACCAATATAATCACCTTCATAGTGAGATCTGCTATGAGCCAACAATCAGGTGGGGCACAACACCCTTACTCAGATCGCAGGCCTGATCCAAGTATTTGAAAGGGGTATGGCCTGCTTCCAATATAAATGAGTGGATGCTGTGGGAAAGCTTGCTTGCTTTTTTCTGGGTCTGGGCTGGAAATTTACCTCTGGTTCTTTGGACATGAGCCGATAGCCTGCCATGTGGCTAGTACAGCCTAGGAGTCATCGCAACCCATCATCTTACAGGCCAACCTTGGCTACATTCTCCTCTGCAGACATAAGCCTGATCTGCTGACCTTGCTTCTGTAGTCAGTGATCTGTCATCTTCCTGCCAATCTTGGATTCACCAGGCCCTAAAATTATGCAATTCAGGAGAAACCTTCAGCTTAACATCTGACCTGTGGGCTCAGAACTTGCCTGGACTTACTTGGGCTTGCCCACTTTTACAACTTTGTGAATCATATTAATATAAATTTATACCTACAGGTATGTCAGTAGATATAGAAATAGATCAATTCACTGGACTTAGCTTCTCTAATGAACCCAGCCTAAGCAGTCTATACACCACTGAAGATGGTCCCATTTTTTTAATGAGGCTTCATTGAAGAATTTGCACTGAATTCACAAGTTTTGCCATGCTCCCAAGGACTCAAGTGTGTTCCAAAAAGAAGTCTGAACGGGACAAGATCAGAGCTGTAGGGTCTAGGAGGCAAGGTTTCCCAACAAACTGCTTGTAGGACAGTCCTCGGTGCCCTCAAAGAATGAACACCTGTCTCATCGTGGCCTTTTTTCCATCAGCTTTCCAATCTCTTAAACGTCTGTTTATCCCAAAAAGTCCCTGTGCTCATTCTGTGGGCTTCGAGAAAATCTATCAAGATTACCTTTTGAGATCCAGAGTACTTGTCATAATCCTTTAAGCTGGCCTCTCTGCCTGGAATTAAACTGGACCAGGAGAGCCTGTCAGAAATTCTCACTGGCCCTTTCTTCAAAGTACCCTGAGCACAGACCAAACCTGTCTGGAACTAAGCACTGACCGGAGAATGGTTAAGCATATGTGGAACAATCTCCTGCCTTTATGAACTGGAACCCCCTGGCGCAACGCTTTTGGCCCTACCCTCACACCTGCTAAGTTGACAGTCAACTCATCAATTTGAGGGGGGGAATGAGGCTCCCCCATATAGTGATTTTTCAAAATAAATCATTTTATTGGGGGCTCGCACAACTCATCACAATCCAGACATCCATCCATTGTCAAGCACGTTTGCACATATTGTTGCCATCATTTTCGAAACATTCTTTCCACTTGAGCCCATGGTATCAGCTCACTTCCCCCCTTCCCCCACCCTCCCTCCCTCCCTCACCCTTGACAATTTATGTTTTTTTCATCATATAGTCTTAAAAA